TTCTTATATGCCCTTGAATTTCTTTCTAGGGCTTCTATTCTATTTCATTGCTCTTTCTGCCTGCTTCTCCCTAAGTACCATACTATTAATACCCTTCTCAATGGCTATCTTCATATATTTTTTCATGAGGATACTACATCTTTACAATCTTAAGTAGATATTCTTAATATTTTCATTTACTCAGGTCTGTATGTTCTTAAGAAAAGTTTATTCATCTAAATCTTACACATTTTTGATTAAGTTTATTCTAAGGCGAAATTCATCATTATAATTGTGAATGAGATCTTTATAAGATTGTACATTCTACGTGATTATTGATGGAATATAAGAAAACAACTGACTGAAGTATGATTTATGTTGAAACTAAAGTTTCCAGATCCTTGGTTCACGTGTCTCCTGTGTTCTAGGTGTGGTTTGACCGAAGAACCAATTACACACGCTCTTTGGCGGTCATGTCAATGGTTGGGTATATTTTGGGCCTAGGAGATAGGTGAGTGAATTTAATTTGTTTCCTTTAGGCTTCTTTCTCCATTATAGTTTTCTTGAATGATTTAATTTGGTTGTACAGTGAGATATATGACCATTTGGCAAATAAATATTTGTATTTTGTACTTAAGGTTTCTTTTGCAACAGCCTTAGTCCCGTATATTACTGTGCCATCAGAGCAACACATAAAACTAAAGAAAAGAAAAACTATAGTTCAAGCTGGGCACTGTGGTGCAAACCTGTAATCCCAGCTACTTAGGAGTCGGGTCGGAAGATGGCCTGAGCCCAGGACCAGGCTGGGTAACATAGCAAGACCATGTCTCAAAAAAAAAAGAAGCCGTAGTTTACGGATAGTTTCTTCTTAGGTTGGCTTAATGTATTAAAAATCATATTAAATTGGATTGGTTTTATTGGTTCAATAACCATTTAGCAGTCACCACTATGCTAAGATAAATAATTCTATTTCTGTAATCGTGACTAACCAAAGTAGATCCTTCTGATATTTTTGCATAATCAGTGTTTTATCCAAACACACTGACTGAAAAAGTAATTCAGGAATGTTCAGAAATTGACTCACAAGAATGTAAAGAAAACTGGTTCTCCAATGTCTACTGTTTTTCTTCTGAGATCATATCTCATGCAGTTATTTGAGAGTAAAAACAATGTTACCCCACAAAGATAATAAATTTTTGTTTAATAGAAAAAACTAGCAGAATGGTTATTGACAAAAGCCAAATGATTCCACCTAGATTGACTTGGGGCTCAAGGAAATGAAACCCGGTGGTAGCTGCTCAGTTATTATAACAGAGCTTTAGCACTTTGAGATGGCAGCACTGCCAGAAACTATTTGTCAGGTAGCAAAGATCTCAGGAAAGCAAATTATCTTGGTCCAGTGAGGCAACCTGTGACTCACACAGGTAAATCCTTGTTTCAGCAGGAGCTGGCAAACTTTTTGTGTAAAGGACCAGATAATAAATATTTTAGGCTTTGTTGATCATATAGTCCCCGTCACAACTACTCAACTCTGCTGTTGTGGCACAAAGCAGCTTGAAACATAAATAAGTGAGCATAGCTGTGTTCCAGCAGAACTTTACCTGCAAAGGCAGGGGGAGCTGGATTTGGCCTGAGGGCTGTCGTTTGCCGACCCCTGGCCTTTGCCGTCACATACTTGGCAATTTACTCACCGGTGCAGTGCCACTCTGATGATCCCTCCCTGATCTCTCTTCTGTTTCTCAAAGACACCCATCCAACCTGATGTTGGACCGACTGAGTGGGAAGATCCTGCACATTGACTTTGGGGACTGCTTTGAGGTAAGCACATGTTGCAGAAAACCACGTAGAGCTTGTTTCCCCGGGTGATCACTTTCACCCTCCTCTGCCAGTTTAGGCAAACTTAAGCCCAAAATGCCTTACCCTCACCCCTGCCTTTCCTACCAAGGCACTAGTAAGTCGGCCTAAGCAATGAAATCCGTGCTCTTAGTTGGGCTCTAAGCTTCCTTGGGGCAAGGGCTGCTGGCACACACCCTGGCTGAGTGGAGGAGTCCACCGTCCTCCACGCTGCCTGGGCGTGATGCACATTTGTGCATTCATCCTTTTTCTTTTTTCTCTTTTCTGGCTTTTTTTTGTTTTTTGTTTTTTGTTTTTTGTTTTTAGTTGTGTTTTAAATCCGTGTGACAAGTCCCCTCTTGTCCCCCACTAACTGAAACTACTTCATTTCTATGCTATAATTAAAATCTATGCAGGTGATACAAAGGAAAGCCACCTACCTGCCTTCACCTGGCTTTAGCTAAAGCAAATAATCTAACCACAGATTTGGTTTTTTTCTGTTTATGATCCTGTAGGTTGCTATGACCAGAGAGAAGTTTCCAGAGAAGATTCCATTTAGACTAACAAGAATGTTGACCAATGCTATGGAGGTGAGTGGACATAGGGAACGAGCTGCTTTGAAATGGGGCCGATGTAGTTACAACCTTCTCTAAGGACAGACTTGCTTGTTAGAGCTCATCGGTTCCCCAGAATGCCCCTGTGATTTCTGCAGCAGTTTCCTGTTGTTTCCCATTACGTTAGAAATGACCTGTCGTTGAAAGTCTTACCACTTCCCCTCAGACCTGGTTCCTTCTGTATCACAGTACCGCCCTGACTCTTTCTCCCCAGACAGTCCCAGCCCGATACATCAGTGTGGCCTGTGTCTGCTTCCTGAGTGAGGGTAATAGACTCTCTCAACTTGCTTTTGGGTCTAGAGTTAGTAACTCCTGTGGTGAGTAGCTCTGTCCCTTTTCCAGGTGACCGGCCTGGATGGCAACTACAGAATCACGTGCCACACGGTGATGGAAGTGCTTCGGGAACACAAGGACAGTGTCATGGCTGTGCTGGAAGCCTTCGTCTACGACCCCTTGCTGAACTGGAGGCTGATGGACAGTGAGTATTATCAAGTGTGTAGGAGTTGCAGTTGGCACCCTCCCAAATTAGGAATATTCCACACATTACATTTTACTAACCAATTCCCCTTCAGGCCTGGAGCCTGAGGTATATTACCAAGCTGTTGCCTTACATTTTCACAAAGCAGCTCTGGTGGCTAGAAAAGAATTTCGAATATTTGTATTACTAGAACAAAAAACTCCCATTATCAATGTAGATTATTGATTAAAATATTTTCTGGGATAAACCAAGTATCCTAGTGTTTTTGTTCATAAAGATTTGTAAGCTGGAATTTTAATAAGAAAAGCAAGCAGTCCAAGTGTGATGGCTCACACCATTAATCCTAGCACTTTGGGAGGCCAAGGTGGGAGGATCACTTGAGGCCAGGAGTTCAAGACCAGCCTGGGCAACATAGCGAGACCCCATCTCTACAAAAGTTAAAAAATTTAGCCAGGCCTGGTGGTGCATGCCTGTAGTCCCAGCTACTGGGGAGTCTGAAGCAGGAGGATAACTTCAGCCTAGGAGTTCAGCCAGGTTGTGGCGTGCTGTGATGGCAACATTGCAGTCTAGCCTGGGCAACAAAGCAAGACCCTGTTTCAAAAAAAGAAAAGAAAAAGTGTGGGAGGGCCAAGATGGTGGACTAAAAGCAGGCTGCACTCACCGCTCTCAAGGAGAAGATCAAAGGTGTAGTTAGAGGTTCACCCTCTCAGGGAGAGCATTGTGAATCATAGAGAAGTGAGTGGAGACACCCCAAAGTTGTGGGGAGAGAGGCAGGGCGATCCCCTTGGCGAGATCGGGAGATACCTGGAGGAAGCGTCCACACATGGGAAAGTATCAGGGGAAAGATCCCTGGAGCTCTGCACTCCCCTAGTGGGCACTGCAACCCGAGCTGCGAGGGGCCTCCCCCCACCACAACAAGCCTCCGAACTGATCAGGAAGCTGCTTGGAGACTGCAGCAGCATTGCACTGGGGAGCGGGCACAGTGGTACACTGCCAGCTTCTGAACCCAGGTCGTTGCAACACATACCATTTTGTACTCTGAGCTCCAGAGTGCCAGGTCTGCAGAGGGGTCGGCTCCACTGCACCCGCCTCCCCATTACCCCTACCAGGCCATGGAGGGTAGGTGCTTTCACACACACTGTGACTGGGTGCCAGGCTCCCCTTGCAACCCACGCTACTGGGACCTCCCAGAGATCCGAACAGAGCAAGTGCCCACTGAGCCTCAGCATCTCCTGCCACTATCTTTTTTTTTTTTGAGACAGAGTCTCACTCTGTTGCCCAGAGTAGAGTGCAGTGGCGTCAGCCTAGCTCACAGCAACCTTAAACTCCTGGGCTCAAGCGATCCTCCTGCCTCAGCCTCCCGAGTAGCTGGGCCTACAGGCATGCGCCACCATGCCCGGCTGATTTTTTCTATATAGATTTTTAGTTGTCCAGATAATTTCTTTCTATTTTTAGTAGAGACGGGGTCTCGCTCTTGCTCAGGCTGGTCTCGAACTCCTGACCTTGAGCGATCCACCCGCCTCGGCCTCCCAGAGTGCTAGGATTACAGGCGTGAGCCACCGCGCCCGGCCTCCTGCCACTATCTTGCCATCACAATAGCACTGCCACTACCACCTGAGTAACACTGCAGCAGATGCCAGTCAGACCTGTGTGGAGGGAGAGCCCCAGCCACTGTGACTCCCTGGCAAGGTACCATGCGTCTTCCTGGCCTTGCCAGCCACAAGTGGTCCAGCTGCTGTGGCCCAACAAGCCACCCAACCACTGCCACGATCCTGTGAGCTGGCCAGGTGCAGGCAAGGCCCTCTGATCCGTCCAGGCTCCCGCCAAGGTCCTACGCCCTGCACAGGTGCCTGCCAAGGTCCTATGACCCTCACAGGCACCCGCAAAAGTCCTGCAACTCACCCTGCCACTGGCTGCAATCTTTCAATGCACTCAGGCACCCACCAAAATCCCATGACCTGCCCAGGTGTCTACCAAGGTCCCATTATGCGCCCAGGCACCCACCAAGGTCCCATGATCCACCCAGGCACTGGACAAGGTCCCATAACATACCCAGGCACCTGCCAAGGCCCTGCGACCCACCCATGTGCCAGCCAAGGTTATACCACCTGCCTCCTTGGAGAAAGACTCACCCAGCCCCCTGCTGCTAAAGCTTCCAGCAGCAGCCTGGGGACCAACCTGTCACTCCAAACGAATAGCCCCCAGCACCGGCTTGGACTATGACAACGACAGGGGAATGGGACAATGCAGGATAACAGCTGCCTTCCGGCTCTCAGTGCATCCACCCCGTCCCACTGGGTCAGTCCTCTGAAGTTGGACGCAAAAGCGCTATCTAGAAACCTCTCCTTCTTCTCACTAAGTAGGAGAGTTCCCAGCAAAGAACATGTGCGCCACAAACCCAACAGCCCTGTGCTTAGAGAAGAGGTTTCAGATGAGAAGAAACCAGCAAACGAATTCTGGTAACATGAAAAAATAAGCTAATTAAAAACCCCAATGGATCACAATAGATCCACAGCAACAGCCCCAAATCAAAGGAAATTGTCAAAATGTCAGAAATGGAATTCAGAATATGGATGGCAAATAAGATGAAGGGCATTGAAGAGAAAGTTGAAAACCAACACATAGAAGCCAAAAAAATATTTTAGGAGATGAATGAATAATATGAAAAACTCACTAAAGAGATGGACAACATAGGAAAGGATGTAACAGAACTTAAAGAAATGAAAGAGTTATTTAGGGAATTTCAAAATACAGCAGAAAGCTTCAACAACAGGCTAGACCAAGCTGAAGAACAAATCTCAGAGCTTGAAGGCAAGGCTTCAAACTAACCCAAAAGTGCAGAAAAAAAAAAAAAAATGAAGAATGAACAATCATTCAGAGAAATATAGGACTGGGTGAAACAAGCCAACAGGTATTCTGGAGAGGGAGAAGAAGAAAAAGCAAAAAGTATGGAAACCCTATTCAAGGGAATTACTGAGGAGAATGTCCCTGGTATGGCCAGAGACTCAGATATCCAGATACAGGATGGTCAGCAAACACTGGGAAGATTCCTAGCAAATAGGACATGATGTCCAAGACACACAGTCATCAACCTGACCAAAGTCAAAATGAAGGAGAAAATTCTACACACTGCAAGGTGAAAGCAACAACTAACCCACACAGAAAAACCTCTCAGGCCAGCAGCAGACTTCTCAGTGTAGACCCTATAAGCCAAAAGAGATTGGGGTCTTAGTCTTCTTAAACACAACTGCCAGCCAAGAATTTTGTCCTACAAAACTAAATTTCATAAATGATGGAGAAATAAAGACTTTTCCAGACAAGGAAACACTAAGGGAATTTGTCACTACCAGACCTGCCCTGTATTGTTCTGTTTTCCCTCTTATCAGTGCTCAAAAATGGAAACGCTCAAAAACGCATTACACATGGAACAGCACAATAGATACCCACCAGTGTAAAAACACCCAAAAGTCAAAGCCCACAGCTCTTATAAAACAATAGCATAAGAGGGAAAACAGAACAATAAGGTATCATCCAACATGATGAATAGAACAGCATCCTACATGTCAGTACTAACGCTGAACATGAACAGTCTGAACATCCACTTAAAAGACATAGACTGGCCGGCTGGATAAAAAACACACCCTAAGTATTTGCTGTCTCCAAGAAACATACCTAAACCACAAGGACTTGCACAGACTCAAGGTAAAGGGATGGAAAAAAATACTCTACGCAAATAGAAACCAAAAGCACGCAGGTATAGCCTTTCTCATATCAGATAAAATAGACTTTAAATCAACAATGGTAAAAAAAAAAAAAAAAGAACAAAGATGGTCATTATGTAATAGTAAAGAGAGCAATTCAGCAAGAGATAACAATCCTAGTATGTACTTGCACCTAAAACAGGAGCTGCTAGATTCATAAAGCAAATTCCTGCTAGATCTAAGCAAGGAAATAAACAGCAGCATCTTAATTGCTGGGGACTTCATCACCCCACTGAAAGAAATGGACAGGTCATCAAAGCAGAAAATGAATACACTCTGGACTTAAACAGGACTCTAGAACAAATGGACCTAACAGACATTTACAGAACATTCCACCCAGAAACTACTGAATATACATTCTTCTCATCAGCACATAGGACGTTTTCCAAGATTGATTATATCTTAGGCCACAAAACAAGTCTCAGCAAATTCAAAACAATTGAAATCATACCACATATCTTCTCAGACCACAGTAGAATAAAACTAGAAATCAATTCTAAGAGAAGCACTCAAATCCACACAAAATCATGGAAATTAAATAACCTGCTGCTGAACGATCCTTGGGTCAGTGATGAAAGTAAGATGAGAATCAAAAGATTCCTTGAACTGAATGACAAAGGGAACACAAGCTTTCAAAATCTATGGGATACAGCTACAACCAGCTGATCTTCAACAAAACAGACAACAACATACATTGGGGAAAGGAAGCGCTATTCGGTAAATGGTGCTGGGGAAATTGGATAGCCACATGTAGAAGAATGAAACAGGACCCCTACCTCTCACTATATGCAAAAATTAATTCAAGATGGATAAACGACTTAGATGTAAGGCATGAAACCATAAAAATTCTAGAAGAAAACATAGGAAAAACTCTTCTAGACATTGGTCTAGAGAAAGAATTTATGACTAAGACCCCAAAGGCAAATACAGCAACAACAAAAATAAATAAGTGGAACTTGATTAAATTAAAAAGCTGCATAGCGGCCGGGCGTAGTGGCTCACGCCTATAATCCCAGCACTCTGGGAAGCTGAGGCAGGTGGATCGTTTGAGCTCAGGACTTCGAGACCAGCCTGAGTAAGAGCGAGACCCCATTTCTACTAAAAATGGAAAGAAATTGGCTGGACAACTAAAAATATAAAAAAAAAATTGGCTGGACATGGTGGTGCGTGCCTGTAGTCCCAGCTGCTCTGGAGGCTGAGGCAGGAGGATCACTCGAGCCCAGGAGTTTGAGGTTGCTGTGAGCTAAGCTGACATCATGGCACTCTAGCCCGGGCAACAGAGTGAGACTCTGTCTGAAAAAAAAAAAAAAAACTGTATAGCAAGGGAAATAATCAACAAAGTAAATAGACAACCTACACAATGAGAGAAAATATTTGCAAACTAAACATCTGACAAAGGACTAATATCCAGGTTCTAGAAAGAACTCAAACAAATCAGCAAGAAAAAAAACAAACAACCCCATCAAAAAGTCAGCAAAAGACATGAACAGAAGTTTTTCAAAAGAAAATAGACAAATGGCCAACAAGCATGAAAAAATACTTAACAGCACTAATCATCAGGGAAATGCAAATTAAAACTACAGTGAGATACTACCTTACCCCTATTGGAGTGACCTTTATTAAAAAGTCAAAAAACAATAGATGCTGGTGTAGATGCAGAGAGAAAGGAACTCTTACACACTGTTAGTGGGACTGGAAATTAATAACAACCTCTATGGAAAACAGTATGGAGATTCTTCCAAGAAATAAATATGGACCTACTATTCCATCCAGCAATCCCACTGCTGGGTATCTACCCAAAGGAAAAGAAGTCATTTTATAAAACAGACACTTGCGTCTGAATGTTTATAGCAGCACGACTTAAAATTGCAAAGATGTGGAATCAGCCTCAGTGCCCATCAAGTCACTAGTGAATGAAGAAAATGTATATATGCACCATGGAGTACTACTCAGCCATAAAAAGGAATGAATTAATGTCATTTGCAGCAACTTAGATGGAACTGGAGACCATTATCCTAAGTGAAATATCTCAGGAAAACCAAATACCATATGTTCTTGCTAATAAGTAGGAGCTAAACGATCAGTACACACAGGCACAATGATATAAATGACATTGGAAACCGGGAAGGAGGGAGGTCGGGAGACGGGAGTTTGAGACCAAAACTTACCTATCGGGTACAGTGAACGTTATTCCATTGATGGGCACACCAAAGCCCTGACTTAAGCGTTATACAAGGTATCCACATAACAAAAACATTCGTGCCCCCTTAATATTTTGAAATTAAAAAATAAATATATAAAAGGGAAAAAGAGAAATACAAACAGTTGTGATTTGAGAGAGCAATATCTTCGTCTACCCTTTGTCTCTACCACCTCAAGGGAAGTTTACGGACAAGAGGCTCCTAATGCACTTCAATTAAATCATACTTTGACCTTCTATTGTCTGTATAACATTGTCTAAGTCCAAATCAACAGTAGAGAGTGTTCTCTGGATTTCATATCTTGTGCTAACACGCACTCACTTGTTCCTAAGTAATACGTCTTTGTTCTCTCTTTGGGATTATAGCTTTTGGAAAAATTGTGTTTCTATGACTGTAAGAAAATATCGTATTAACCAGGTTTCTTTCAAGTCAAAGTTTGAAGTATTTTTTAATATTCTTTCTCTCTTCCCCTAGCAAATACCAAAGGCAACAAGCGATCCCGAACAAGGACAGATTCCTACTCTGCTGGCCAGTCAGTAGGTGGGTACATTTTAGGGGAGATTGTAGATTCTGTCCCCTTCATCCAGGGTATTTCTAGAATGGGTGAGTTTTGTTATTACCATTAGGAGGCATGAGTTAAATCAGTAATGGCTGCTGAATATGAAGGAAGTAACCTGTTTTTCTTGAGGTTGTTGACAGTGATAGTTTTGTAGACATATTATCACTACTAATGTATCACCTGATAGGCATTTAACTGAACGTCAAAAACTTAGTCTAGAAACATTTACTGAGCACCAAGCACCTAATATATGTCTTTTATTTACTAATCACACAATGGAGTGGGTACCTAAAGCTTGGAAATTTTTACCAAACTATCTGATCTTTACCTATAAAAACACAGTTAGAAATATGTCTAAATATCAGCCAATATTTAGCGTGCCCATTAATGGTGTCTGGGTTGGGATAATTATCACCAGTATTACTTAGGTCTTCAAGCATTGTTAGTAGCTCAGAGATGGGCAGACGAAAGCAGCAGAAATTTACTGGCGTTCTATGAGGAGCCCTGAAACCACCGGAAACATTGTTTATGGGAATGTGGTTCACAGAACTGGTCCCGGGAAGACATGTGCCCCTCTAAGAGCCAGGGTACTTTTTGTGTATTTAAAGTTCTGAGAAGGGTCAGAGTAAAGCTGTTTTACTCTGTGTAGCCTTCCACTCTTTTCCCCACCCCTGTCCTGTCCCTTTTTTCCTTATAACATTTAACAACATCCTACACAGTTCACACTTTGGGAAGTACTGTTGGGGCATAAAAAAGTAAATATTCTCTATAGGTGTTCATGGAACATTTACAACTAGTTAATTAAGCCAAATAATGTCTGGGAGTGCAAAAAGAAAATGTAAGGTACGGGTCACCCTGAAGCACAGAAAGACGTTATAGAATTGACCGTAACATACATAAAATAATAAGAGAACAATATATTGTGCTATGTAAACAGGTACCCAAGCATGCCTTGGTTTGGAATAGAAGGGCTGTGGGGAGTCAGAAAAGGGAGCTTTCACTGTGAACTGTACTAGTTAAGGGAGCACTTGAGTTGGTGGAATTTAGTCATCACTCAACCAGAAAGGGTAATTTGTCCTGACTGGCTGGATAGATCTGGATGGGTAGAAAGGAGAAGGACGTTCCAGGCAATAAATCGAGGAGCTGGATTATAGTGTCGTGCATGGACTGCACCCTGGACAGTGACAGGATCTGTGAATGCCTGGACACCCAGGCTCCTGTTCCCCACAGTCTCTGGTCTCATCCAAAGCATGCTGAGACTTACTGGTTTCATTCTCGGGGTCCACCTCATTAATACATTATTGAGCGACTCCTGTGTGCTTCCTACACTGTGCAGAGGGGAATTAGGATGGCCACTTCTGGTGGCACCAGATGGTGGTATACCTGATTGGTTAGCTTAAAAGTTCCAGGAGGTCATTAATAAAAGTATAGCTATCACTACGTTGATTTGGAAGGTCTGTGGTATCTGGGGACAATGTTCAAATCTTCATACTTCTGATTCTAGACTTCTCTGCTGAAGGCCATAATCAGTGAAGGGTGACCCTGATACCTTAGGACTTTTTCTATCCAGAAATGATATGAAAATTCCTCCAAGGAATAACACTTCAACCATGTGTGACCCATTGCAAAGTTAATTGTCTTTATATTATCAGTTTTTGTCCAACCAAACAAGTTTTGTCACCAGGCCTTTGACCTATGCTCCTATTCTCCATGTCAGAATGCTTTATTAATGCTATTTGCTTGAAAATCCATGTTTCAATTCTGTAAAGAACCATGCTCTTTCTTCAAGAACAATAATAACTCATTTGAAAATAGCAGATTTAAAAACTTTCTTTTTTTGAACCACTGCACCTGGCCTGATTTTAAAAATTTGAATACATAAAGAGTAACACTGAGCCAGGCCCGGCAGCTCATGCCTGTAATCCTAGCACTCTGAGAGGCTGAGGCGGGAGGATTGCTTGAGCTCAGGAGTTCGAGATCAGCCTGAGCAAGAGCAAGACCCCGTCTCTACTAAAAATAGAAAAAAAATTAGCCAGGCAACTAAAAATAGAAAAAATTAGCCAGGTGTGGTGGCATGTGCCTATAGTCCCAGCTACTCAGGAGGCTGAGGCAGGAGGATCACTTGAGCCCAGGAGTCTGAGGTTGCTGTGAGCTAGACTGATGCCATGGCACTCTAGCCCAGGCAACAGAGCAAGACTTTGTCTCAAAAAAAATAAAAGGTAACATAAAGCTTTCTCTCTCCTTTCCCCTTTGAGGTAGGTAGGGCAGATGTTCAAAGAATATAATATGTAAAGAATTAGAAGCTAATGCCAGTAATGGCTTCTTGGTGTTTGAATTTTAATTGATTTTTTTCCCCCAGAAATTTTGGATGGTGTGGAACTTGGGGAACCAGCCCATAAGAAAACGGGGACCACAGTGCCAGAATCTATTCATTCTTTCAGTAAGTTAAGCCTCTGAGGAATTGCACCAATGACTAGCTCATTAAGAAAATAGCAGCTGTGTTGTGCCCTGAGAGGGGTCAGCAAGATGAAGCCACAAAATCGCCTTTGAGCACAAACGTTCCATGAATTTCTCATTATATTCTGAGGACAAAGATGGACACAGAGGAAGGCTTGCTCAACACTTACAAAGTGAATATTTGAGAAAACAGGGGCACCCATTGAACCTGTTGTAATGATCCAATTCTTTCTTTTATTTCTGCTTTTGTGTATTGCAGTTGGAGACGGTTTGGTGAAACCAGAGGCCCTAAATAAGAAAGCTATTCAGATTATTAACAGGGTTCGAGATAAGCTCACTGGTGAGTGTGTGTATGTGTTTACTTAAAAAGGACATGAAATCTGCGGAGACTTTCTTCTCCCTGCACGGGTGGTCAGCCCTGTGTTTGGTGGTCTCAGTGCCTGAGCTTGGACACCATGCAGCCAACAGGAGTGTCTCTGAGACCATCAATTAAACACCATCTCTGGTCTTCTATACAATCACCAATAACAACATTACTTAAAGTTAGTTTCACCTCATTTAATTAAGGAGGTGAGTGAAGTTCTATTGAGTCTAAAATCAGCCGAATTCAGGGAAGTGATTTTTATTGCCATGGCTTAATGTTAGAGCCAGTCTGACGAAAGACTCATTGCCACTCTGTACTTTGGTAGCTGTTACAGAGTGGAGAGAATGCAAGGGGAGAAGTGCACACTTCTGAAAAGGAGATGTCACACATTGATCATCTTTCCTCTGATTGGGAAGGGGCGGAACGTGGAGGGTGGGAGCCAGGGAAGCCAGAGACCTCGGCTCCACCGCCTGCTTTCTGTGCGGCCTCTGAGCCCCTGTCTCTTCACCTGGAAGATGACAGGATGCCTCGCTCAGAGGGCGGGGAGGATCAGATGAGACAGGATGCCAGGCACCTAGCATCAGGGCCTGGCGCATTCATTTTGTTGTCAGGGTGTATTTGTTGAGCACCTATAAGTGCTAGATGCTGAATAACCTGTTGGTAAAAACAGCTTCCCTGACTTTGTGGGGCATCAAATCTAAAGGACATGCTATTAAGTAGAGGAGAGGGACTCAGGGCTATGGTGAATGTACTATCAGAACTTAATTGTGTTGGGAGCTCTGGGAACGTTTCCCTAAGGAAACAACACATGAGCTAAAATCTGAAAGAGGAGTTAATCAGGAGTAATTGTTCCAGGCACCGGAAACATCACAGGCAAGGGCCCATGGTGGGAGAGAGTGATGACAAGAAAAAAGGCCCTCAAACAGGCCAATCTGCCTGTCCCAGAGAGAGCAGGATGAAAGAAGCACAGTGCAAAGTGTGGTCCCCTGGTCTGAGAAGACCAGGCCCAGATCATACAGGACTGTGGTTTTTATCCCGTATCCTAAGAGCAGTGGGAAACCACTGAAAGGTTTTAGGTGGGGAGGGAGACAGAGGCCCTGAGCATTGGCATGTGAAATACCGCTGGGCGCCAACTGGATTAAAGGGAAAGTGTGCAGGTGCGCTAGGTAAGAAGCCACCGCTGTCATCCAGGCAGGCGTGGCAGGTGATTGGCCTAGGGTGGTGGGCGTAGAACAGTCTCAGGAGATCCTGAGGAGATAAAATCAAAAGGATCCATGACCTGGCATGAGGGATCAGGAGGGACAAAGGATGGCGCCAAGTCATTGGTGACCATGTGGGAGCTATGATGAGCCCGGCAGCCAGGCTGAAGCAATTGAGGAGAATGTGAAGTGAGAGAAAAGGCAGGCAAGGGATCCGAGTGTGAACTCCTGAGTGGTTTGTGTAGGGAGGAGAGAGGATTAAGGTGTAGTTGAAAGAGAGGCTCTCTTTTCTTTAATGGGAAACAAGAGTGTGTTTATAAAACAGTAGGAAACATGCAGTTAAGAGGGAGAGTCTGAAATATGAGTGAGAGAAAGGATAATTTGTAAGGCTCCTAAGACAGCAGGAGGGGATGGGCGGGCTCCAAAGCACAGGGGAAGTCGTCTCTCATGGCAGTGGGGGAGGAAGGGCGCTCACGTGAATGAGTCCAGGACCTCAAACACTGCCTCATACATCACCAGGGTCCAAACACTACACGTTTAATGAATAATTCACTTGTAAAGTGGGAGGCGAGGGCATCTGCTGAGAGTAAGAAGTAGAAGGAGAGGTTGGGACATTTGGGGAAAATAGAGAGACTCGAGATGATCCCTGTGGCGATGGAAAGGCACATTCCAGAGAAGCACCGTAAGCTGGCCAGGCAGTGCTGAGCACCTGTTTGAAGCCAGACATGATGAATTTATAATGGCAGCAAGCTGCCCTGGGGAGGAGAGGCTCACAGATGGAGGTTAGTAGGATTAAAACTGAATAGGGTTTCTCATCCACTTGTCCAACTTAAAGAGGATTTTAGAATAGAAAGAATCTTCATAAACCTATCGACCAGATCTGTGCCATTCCTGAACTCAGCTGACTGCAGGCATTTACCTTCCGTGAACCAAATCTGTATAAGACTAGTGTCTGTTCAGATCACGTGGACATGAATGTTTGAAATCCAGCCGCGGTGTATCCTTCATACTGGTGTATGGGGATAAACTGATTTCGGCTGCATAGACAGTTAAGCCAACAGGGGATAAGAAATGCGTTGATCACCAGGTGAAAGTGAAATGTTTTTGTTTCTCCTGTTCTAGGTCGGGACTTCTCTCATGATGATACTTTGGATGTCCCCACACAAGTTGAGCTGCTCATCAAACAAGCCACATCCCATGAAAACCTCTGCCAGTGCTATATTGGCTGGTGAGTGGACCTCTCAAGAAACTTTGTTAGGCCAGGCACAGTGGCTCACGCCTGTAATCCTAGCACTTTGGGAGGCCAAGGTGGGAGGATCACTTGAGGCCAGGAGTTCCAGACCAGCCTGAGCAAGAGTGACACCCTGTCTCTACAAAAAGATAGAAAAATTAGCCAGGATGTACTACTGCCATGCACCTGTAGTCCCAGCTGTTTGGGAGGCTGAAGCAGGAGGATCGCTCAAGCCAAGCCCAGGAGTTGGAGGCTGCAGTGAGCTATCTATGATGACACCACTGCACTCTAGCCCAGGAGACAGAGCAAGACCCTGTCTCAAAAAAAAAAAAAAAAAATCTTTGTTAAGAGAAACAGTGAGGACCCTACCCTATGTCCCAAAGCCAGGGTAGCAAAAAGAGATTTGGTGGGGTATCCAGTTGTGGGCTCAAATCTCTTTAAAAGTTTATATTTACTGTATGTGTACATTATTATAAAAAGGAGAAAATTGAGAAACAGGGATACATATTTGGAAGGCAAACACCAAAATAAATTAAAATTACAATAAGAGAAATGGTTTAAGGCCAAGGTGGGAGGATCACTTGAGGCCAGGACTTTGAGACCAATCTGGGCAACATGGTGAGACCCCATCTCTACAAAAAGTTAAAACAAATTAACTAGACATGGTGGCACACAGTACTTGGGAGGCTAAGGCTGGAGGATCACCTGAGCCCAGGAGTTTGAGGCTATAGTGAGCTACGATTGGGCCACTGCACTCTAGCCAGGGTGACAGATCAAGACCCTGTCTCCTTAAAAATAAAAAAGTTTAGGAAAATAGGCAAGGCTTGTTTTTCGAGAGCTGTTCTTTATGGGTTTTTGCTGTCAACCCAGTTCAGATATACAGGAAGGGCAAAGAAAAAGAAGCCAGAGTGGTGACAAAGAAGGAGATAAAAAGACAAATTTATGATCTGGGAGTCTAACCTCAAGGACCACTCTGGAGTGTGCTTTGATTAACTGCCACAGGCATGCTTGAAGGCAGAAACCTGAGAGGGGGGCGATGGGGAAGTGTCCTTGTGGGACCGCAGCGGGCGTTAGCCCTTGACTGGACGTGATGAGTGTGTCCCACACAATTAGCTGAGGGGAGCTGAGGGATGCCCTGGGGTTGTCAGACCTTGGTCTTTCCATTTTCAAGTTATCTACATAAAGCTTTGAAGAAGCTCCAGTTACTAAAATATTCCTTTTCTGTCTGCCTTCTTAGGTGCCCTTTCTGGTAACTGGAGGCCCAGATGTGCCCGTTGCATTTTTTCTGAGGCATTTGTACTTGGTATACACTTCTGCTAAACTGAAACCATGGTCAGAAAGTTTGACTTTGTTAAATATTTTGAAATGTAAATGAAAAGAACTACTGTATATTAAAAGTTGGTTTGCACCAACTTTCTAGCTGCTGTTGAAGAATATATTGTGAGAAACACAAGGCTTGATTAGGTTCCCAGGACAGTGAAACACAGTGATACCACGTAAATCAAGCCATTGATTTTGGGGAACAGAAGATCCATAACTTTAGAAATACGGGTTTTGACTTAATTCACAAGAGAACTCATCATAAGCATTTGCTGATGGAAGGATGACTTAGTCATTCCGCTCAACATGGGTACAGCAAACTCAGCACAGCCAAGAAGCCTCAGGTCATGGAGGACATGGATTCGGATCCTGGACTATAAAGAAGCGGGAGAAGCTGATGTCACCCCTGCCACCATCCCATCACCTCACTGGTCTGTGGGCAGCAGCGATGTTTGCATGATGGGCTAACATGGGTCAAAAAGGTCTGTCTTCTGCCGGATCAGTGATGCTGCAACTCACGCACTTCAATCTAAGACCTGAACCGCTAGGAGGGGGTTATTCAGATCATGGGAGCCCCAGCTGAGCAGATGCACCATGGGGGTCACAGCACAGTGGGGCAGCCCCGCCTGGCCTTCGCCAGCACAGTGCTGGGATGTTTTCAGTGAGGTCTGAATACTCTGTGTTTGGTGCAAGGGCTCAGAAAACAGAAATGCTGTCGTGGAGGTGCTAAACACAGAGAAGGAAGGTCTAGTACGTGTTGGGAATTATGAGCAAAATAAATATTCAACTAAATGCACAAAGTATAAAGTGTAGCCATGTCTAGACACCATGTTGTATCTGAATAATTTTTGTGCCAATAAATGACATCAGAATTTTAAACACATGTAGCTGAGTGGCTTTTTATTCATCATTTTAGTCAATTCAAAATGGAAGCATTTATTCCTTCAACGTTCAACCTTATTATGCATTTAGTACTGGGGACAACAAAGGACACAGGCTGCACGTGAGGAGGCCCCTTCCCTCAGGCTGTTCCCAGGCCAGGCAGGTGGAGGCAACTGGCTGCAGAAGGGGACTGAGAACTCACCCAGCTGGGTGCTGAGGAGCGTATGTGAGCCACACGTAGGGGCGCTGATTCCACTGGGTGAGCCCAGAAAGCCTGCTGGAAAAGGAGACATTTTGGATAGGTCTCAGAGGAGGAGTAGGAGCTTGTCGGATGAAGTAGGCGGGACATTCTCAGCAGAAAAGGAAGTGTGAGACGAGGTGTACAAGCACGATACCCATAGCAATGGCAAGTGCTAACCTGAGCCATATGAAATCTTTTTTAATCTCCTTCCAATCTACAAAATCAGCATCTTTGTATGGTTGGACCCCATAGCTCAGCGTGTCTGGCTCCGTGGTCAGTGAGGAATAGAGAATGACAGGAAAATGATACGAACTAACAGGAGGCTGTTAGTAGGGCGGGGCCAGACTGGGGCCTGCCTCGAAGTTCGACAGCAAGGAGTCTGAACCTTATGCTGTGACTTTTTAAAACAGGAGTAGAATCTGAGTGGTGGGTTTGATTTCTTTTTTTTTTAAGAGTAGTCAAGTGCAGAAGCGAGAAGGGGATAAAGAATAGAACAAGAGGTAGTTCAATCTGTAACTGAGCAATCGATTGAGATAACTCACTACTTTCGGACCAGTCCTGAGTGGTGTTCTTAAAGACAACTGGTGTCAAAAGATGGAGAAAAAAATTATAAGCCACAAGACCCAGTAAAGAGGCTGTTGCAATAATGGTGGGGAACGGACATTGACTGGAGCCAGCAAGTGCTCTATATAGATTCCCTCTACAGAGAGAGCATGCCTAAAGAGAAGTTCTTCCAAAGAATATGCTTTTTAGTTTTTAAAGTGATTTTTTTTCTAAATTCCTTTGTTCCACAGCTACTCAGAAATACTGTATCATTATAAGATCTGTTCAAAGAACTTACATTAGGAGGATGAGAATTACAAGGCCAGAAACCATATCTTATTTGTCTTTGTATCCCTCAAAAATGCCAGAAGACCTAACCCACAGTGATGCTCCATAAAAGGCCGTTGGAGAATTCTTCTATTAGAAACAAAGACGGGCCGGGTGCAATGGCTCACACCTGTCATCCCGGCACTTTGGGAGGCCACAGCAGGAGGATCGCTTGAGGCCAGGAGTTTGAGACCAGTCTGGGCAACACAGCAAGATCCCATCTCTACAAAAAGTTTTTTAAAAAATCAGGCGTGGTGGCGCACGCCTGTAGTCCCAGCTACTTGGGAGGCTAAGGCAGGAAGATTGCTTCAGACCAGGAGTTTGAGGTTGCAGTGAGCTATAACGATGCTGCTACACTCTAGCCCAGGCAACAAAGCGAGAGCTGGTGTCAAAAAAAAATTAATAAAAATTAAAAAAGATGAATTTAAATGTCAGTAGTGATAATAATAACAGTTTTAACACAGCTAGAAAGTCTCATACCTATCTTAGATTTTCTGTAATAGTCCTAAACCATGTATCATCCATTTTGCCCCAGAAAATATGATCACCATAACTTTCTTGTTTGCAGATGAAATAACTCAATGTTACCTTCCATGAAAAATAAAGGGTGTGAGAATGAATGGACTTAGGGAAATGGGGCCATCAGTGATAAAGATATATGCTTTAGGACATTAAAAGGGTGGATTAAGATCTTTGGTGAAGCCAATGTTTTAAGAGGTATCTGAGCAAAACCTGGCTTTGTTGAGATGAATTACCAGACGAAGGGGAGGAGCTAATGGAGGCTTTAAAATCAGTCTAACCCTCCAATCGTAAATGGCTTCTCATAACCCTGTGTGAGGGAAGTATGTGGCAAAGACCTTCAGGGTCTCTATTCACAGGGTTTCAGAGCCCAGGACTTAAAACTCAAAGGCAGTAGAAAGTACAGTTGACCCTTGAATAACACAGGTTTGAATTGCACAGGTCCACTTATAAACAGATTTTCTTCTGTCTCTGCCACCCCTGACAAAGCAATGCCAACCCATCCTCTTCCTCCTCCTCTTCAACGCGAAGACAAGAATGAAGATCTTTATAGTAATCCACTGCCATGCAATAAATAGTAAATATATTGTCTCTTCTTCGTAATTTCTTCTGTGTGTGTGAGTGTGTGTGTGAAAAAGAGTCTCACTCTGTTGCCCTGGCTAGAGTGCCGTGACGTCAGCCTAGCTCACAGCAACCTCAAACTCCTGGGCTCAAGCGATCCTCCTGCCTCAGCCTCCCAAGTAGCTGGGACTACAGGCATGTGCCACCATGTCCGGGATAATTATATATATATTTAGATGTCCAGCTAATTTCTTTCTATTCTTTTAGTAGAGACAGGTCTCGCTCTTGCTCAGGCTGGTCTCGAACTCCTGAGCTCAAACGATCCACCCGCCTCGGCCTCCCAGAGTGCTAAGATTACAGGCGTGAGCCACCACGCCCGGCCTCTTCATGATTTCTTAATGACATTTTCTTTTCCCTGGTTTACTTAAAAAAAAATACAATATATAATCTAACACAAAATATGTGTCAAATCAACTATTATCAGTAAGGCTTCTGGTCAACAATAGGCTATTAGGAGTTAAATTTTAGGGAAATCAAAAGTTATACACGGATTTTTGACTGCTTGGGGAACGCGGAATCAGCACCTCTAACCCCTGCACTTTAAGAGTCACCTGTAGTTGGAGACCAGCCTGAGCAAGAGCAAGACCCCGTCTCTACTAAAAACAGAAAAATTAGGCGGGCATGGTGGTGCGCACCTGTAGTCCCAGCTACTCAGGAGGCTGAGGCAAGAGGGTCAGTCGCTTGAGCCCAGGAGTTTGAGGTTGCAGTTAGCTATGATGATGCCACTGCATTCTACCCGCAGTGACACTCTGTCTCAAAAAAAAAAAAGTCAATTGTAGCTTTTAAGAATCAAGGCTGTAGTGTCATTACTGAGTTTCAAATTTCATCTCCATCTCATACTACCTGTGTGACTTTTGACAAGTTACTTAATTTCTCTATGTTTGTTTCCTCATCTGAAAATGTGGGTGATAGTACAAACTACCTTGTGAGGTTGTTTGGAGGAGAAGATAATCCACGGGAAGGACTTGGCACAGCCTGGCACATGGTATTAGGTTGAACCATATGAGCTAAGTGCTCAAAAACACTAGTTGCTAAAATGAACTAGGCCTTTGTCCTGCCAGGGTACCTGTGTACCTGAAATAACACACATGGGAAAGAAAAGGTGAACAGCAAGTATTCGGTTAATAGGATATTCTGAACGTTTCTTGAATACTTAATAAACCAAGTTGTATTAAGGGTGTGCCACTGATCTTAGGAGAGAGAATACACCTCATTGAACTTCCAGGAATCCATGCTCTGAACAGCCTGGTAATGCGGTGTCTCCCTCATAACAAGAGCTCTTCTAGCAGTTCCCTTAACAAATGTTTATTGAGTTCCCACTATGTGCCTCAACAAGAGTGGTTCGTGGAGTCCGCGGGGTGAGCAAGTACAGCGCGAGCGTCCTGGCGCTTTTTCCCAGTTTTACCTATAAAGGGCAAGAGAGACGTGACGGTGGTTGGAAGATGTGGGGGCGAGTGTTTTTTCTTTTTCAGTTGGGAGAGATGTCAGTATATGCGTAGGCTGTCAGGAATGAACCAGTAGGGAGGGAAAAGATCGACGCGGACCCGGAGAAACCGCGGGTGGTGTAATTACAGGATCCTAGATCAAGTGGGTGAAGGGGACACGGAAGCAGAGCTTGGCAAGAGCTGGCTTTAAAAAGGAGAATAATTAAGTCCTCTAGGTCCCACCCTCAATCATAGAGTTGTCAAGCTGATGCAATATGAGGCTAAAGAAAAATGCAAGGTCCCCGGCTGACAACTCAAACTCCCTCCCGCGCTGCCCGCCCGCCGGCTTTTACACATGCGTGGTGCGCGCGCATGCGTCGAACAAGACACTCTCGCGAGAAGAGCCCTACGGGCCGGAAAAATGGCGCCTCCCAATCCTCGGGAGCCCAAGGCTCCATCGGCTACCAGTGCCACCAAGTCCGACGGGGAGATGGTGTTGCCGGGCTTCCCGGACGCAGACAGCTTCGTGAAGGTAAGTTGATGGAGCCTTGGGGGCACTGGAAGCCGCCCGCGGCCGCCCGAAAGCAGACTCGGGCCCTCTAGGCAGCTTGCGCGTGTCGCGGCCGAGCCCGGGCGAGGGTCGAGGGGCCGCTACCCGCGCCAGGCACAAGACTGTCGCTGCACTCTGAGGGATGGGGCCTCGGACGCGGACAATGAGAGTCGCCCCGCTTCCCAGTTTAAGTCTGTGCAGTCCCGAGTATAGAGAGCCGTATCCGCATCCTGGGAAGGGCTTCCTTAATACTCAGATGTCTCCAGCCCTCGCGACCTCGCCCCGCCCGGGCCTGAACCACCCTGCCTAGGAGGGGTTTGGCCTCTTTGCACTTCCACACCTGCTTGGCGTCCTCTCCTGCAGCGCCCTGGACGGTCCTTCCCTCTCCTCAGGTCCAATGCTACATAATCTCAAGCCACGGGTTAAGTGTCACCTGTTACAGCTACCACCAAGTCTCTCTCTTCTAAGTGCCTCCTCGAAGGGACACAAGGTTCATTTAAATTATTTGTATAAGCAGCTTAAGTATGAATACAGATGCAGCCAGGTTTAAGTGGTGCATAGCTCTTACAAAGCCATGAAACTAAAATTCGTAAATTAGCCCTACAAATTCCCCAAACCTCCACTCACGTTATATCTCATTTACCATAAGCAGATGCTATTGTTAATTCATTTACTTGGCTCTGAAAAGTTCCTGGGCCAACAGCTGTGGACCTGATTGTGTGATCTTCGTGTTTGTAAGCTACCATGTTCCCCACCATGAGTCAATTTCCCACC